CCAAACACCACAATGGAACGCCGTGTATTCATCCCTTACTCGCTGGCACAGCTTCAAACTCCAGCTACGCAAGCACCGTGTTTTCTTTAAGGCACGGCACGACCAAAGCAGAAGAGAAGGATTTGGGACTTTCGAGATCAAGAATCGTAGGAAATTGAGTAGGAACGGGGAGGGGAACAGGGACCGGAAAAAAAACTCGCAGATTCGAGATAACACCGAGAGGGGGCAAATGAAAAAAATCTGAAGTAGATAAAAAGGGCGAGGAGTTGTAGGGGGAATACGCGAGAAGAAATTGTCTGCCGAAGAGCGGCGCCACGGGAGCGGAAGCGGCCCAGCGCAGCGCTGGCGCACAGTGGCCCGAAAACAGACAAAAGACGCACATAATAGTTATTTATGTATCGAGGTCGAAAAACAAATGCGCTTCGGAAGAGCGGTTTGCCAAGCAAGGCAAAGCGTAGCCGAATCGAGGCTGGAAAAACTAGACCCGGAAAACATTAATTGTCTGCCATGATGCTGTTTTTGATCTTTACCCGTAGCGATTACATTAAGTATAATGAAAAAAATTAAACGCAGTCTATTTTAGTGGTAATAATTTTGCTAAGACAATTATGTCAATTATGTTCAACAGTTGACGGTGTAACAGTTGGTATCTAGCATTGTCTCAAATATTAAATGATTGAAAAAAAACATATAGATAAAATGTTGGTGAGGAGAGATAACAAAGACAACGTACTAAATTTAATAATGAAAATAAATGTGTGTTTCATCATAAAAAGAAAAACTCTACAGTTGGTATTTCCTTTGGTTCATTTAGATTTTTATGTAACTAGGGGAAGAAAACTTTACGAAATAAATTCTTTGTATTTCTGACTCTGAAAGCTTCAAAATGGGTAGAGTTTTGAAAACAATGAATAGGACAATTAATTTTGGGCTCACTAAACGAATTGAATGATTAGTATATTTGGTTAATGTCTATGACAAGAATGGTTCATTAGAAATCTTTTTAGTACAATAATACATGTGAAGAACTAGCAGCAACAAGCAGCAGTCGGTTTCAGTTCACTGACAGATTGTATAAACACTTCGGCAATTCTTAAGAAAATGTAATCCTTCATAAAATAAGAGAGTTGACCAGAAATGAGAATAGCACTATTTTTTTACGTTCTTTGATACAAATGAGGGGAAATTTAAAGAAAAAATTTGGAGCAAAGAGCAAATTTAGAGCAAATCTTCAGAAAAAATTGTTTAAAAAATAAAAATTATTTCATGCAAATTGATGCGAATATTTACGAAAAACTGTACATTACTCTATTTCAAGATGTCTTGGAAGAACTGATATCATTCGGGTAAAAATCTCTGTCTTCAGAATTGTAGTGGAAGAAAGACGACGGAAAACAAAATGGACTTTGCAATTTTCGAAAAAGCAAGAATTTTAACGAAAAACAGGCGTGCACCGTTGTTTTGAGCATCCTTTTCTCTATCCGAAAAAAATAATAAAAAAATTGGAGAAATTTTGAGAAAATTTTGAAACTGTTGTGGCTTTATACATAGTACCCCAAAAAACGCAATATCCGTTTCAAATTCAGAGGGCCTCGATTTCATTTCACAGACAGCCATTGGACAGACGGATAAATCCAATTTTCGTTACCTGAACCCAGCAATAAAAGTTTTTCTGTCGAAAATTCGTCGTTTTCCAAATACAATACTTTCTTCTTACGAAGTGCATGCAAAAGTAAGAAGGATGAAAATTAGTAGATACTTTGAACATGGATATTGAAAATCTTAAAATTTCATTTTTTTATTTTATAAAACATATTTGCCGAACTGGATAGCCGAGGTGGCTAAGAGTCCTGACTTCGGACCTGAGGGTCCCGTCTTGGGCATGGTCAAGGAGGGCAAGGTGTTGTCACGGAGGCTCCCGTGTTTTGAAGAAATAATTATATGCGTCGTCATTGCCAACAATATTATTTATTAAAAAAGCAACTTTCGTGGGCTTAGCCATCATCATCAGTTTTCTGCTGTATGGAAGCCACAAAATCAACTGCCTACGCTTCCATACAGCAGAAAACTGATGATGATGGCTAAGCCATCGAAAGCTGCTTTTTTAATAAATAATATTGTTGGCAATGACGACGCATATAATTATTTCATTAGAAACGCCAACCACGCCAAACGCCAATAACCCACCACAACACCTATACTCTCGTGTTCTGCTGACCCCAGATCAGAGAAGCCCGCAAGGGTGTTGGTTTCAATTGTATAGTCGAAAATGCGTTCCATCGGAACGTAAAGGGTAGCGGGCTGCCGACTGGATAAAAACTCTAGGAAAAAGTAATATTTGCGTTTTCTCCCTTTCCTCACACATGCGTTCACGGTTTTTGGCGATACAATTAATATAAAAATGATTGTAAATTGACCTGATCTGCAGCCTCTCCGCGCATTGGGTGTCCCTTCGGCCCACTGTATGACGTTGGCGAGAGGGTGAGGCAGAAAAAATACAAGTCTGAAATGATATTAAAGTCGAGAGGTCTTATGCCTCGACGAAAAATAACGCCCGGAACCCGTGAAGAAGCGAGTTGAAGAGCCAACAGCTCGGAGTTTGCCTCAGGGCACCTGTCGACAGCCGGGCACAACTCGAGCGCTCGGGGAAGATAAAATACGAGCGTTATTTCCTCCGATGCTGCCTACGCCTCGAGGCAACTCCTGCACAACCCGCGCCAACGCAGCGCCGATGTCTAATTTCAGGTTTCTCCTTTCGTAGCGCGTACAGTTTCTCATGCCAATTAAAAACTGTTGAGAAAGAAACACCTTGAAAGTAAATTCTATGAACATAACGGAAAACAGTACAGCAATAAGTACGACCAATACAAGTGCGTTACTTTGTTCCTATGGAATTACTCGCAAAATGTCTGTTTATTAGCTCTGGAACAACAATGCAATACCTATTACGCTGATATACTCAATAGTACAGCAACATCATTTCATGATTTTGCTTTCATGCCAAATACTGATGATCCAGTCATTTAAAAACTGTTGAATGCGTGTTGAAGCTGCGACGTACCGTTTTTGATGTAATCCATGCTGCTGCCCGTGAAATTGAAGCTGCCATCTGTGACTATGTTGGTTGGATGTTCTGGATTGTAAACTAATTTTAAGGCTTAAGAAACTAACTGCCTTGTGCTGAGAAAATTGTTAGACACATAAATATCGACGCACCCACACTAAAAACGCACTTCCGTCCACTTAATACTGTTTAGTACTAGCACTGAAAAATCACTCACTACTGTTCTGAGAAAAGTTTGGACCTATGTTGTTCGGTCGAAGACACACAGCGAAGTGGGTAACAAATACTTTTCACGTATAACGAATTTTAAATTCCATTACTTACGTAATTTTGCCGCGAATACTGTGATTTTCGGAAGGTGGTTTCGTTTTGTGGGTGCCTGCTAACAGGAGAATGAATACATCTCGTGTCGGTTTGTAATTTCTCTCACTAAGTTGTTGAATAGTCAGAATTCAAGTATTGTGGGTCCTCGATACCCAAAAATATGTTTACCGTGAAACATCCGTCCGCTCATCTGACTTTGTACAACGCAGAGCCAAAACCATCTTCAGGGAGTTTTATATTTCTCTATCCATAGAGACGACGTCACGGCGCACCGGATTTGAAACATGTACTACTTTACGTGAAACCTTAACAACATTACCAAAATTTTCTCAAAAATTACACCACATTTTTTGTTTTAATTGTTTTACTGCATAAAACGAAAATAAAAAGGCACATGTCTCAGTTTTGTTGAATTTACTGCGTTTTCAAAAACTGCAAATGTTCAAAATTTTATCTATTTCCCAACAAATACAATAGTGGAGATGGAAACTTTTCTCTTAAAGAAATTTGTTTCTACAAAGATAGATCTAAGGTCATTTTTGATTTTTCAAATATTGAAAATGATCATAAAGGCATGTAGTTTTCGCGTCATTTGGCTTGATACGTAGACAATTTCTGGAATAATTATTTTG